GTTGTGAATGATGTACGCGAGAGGCGTACGAAGGAAGGTGCGCGATTCGTGTCGTTCCTTCGCCGTAATGACTAGATAAAGTCACTGGTGAATGTTGATGTGCTTTAGCGGTGGAAGTGAAGAGAAGGTTGTTGTGTTGTTGGAAGGCGCGCTGGAGACCAGACGAAAGCATCGGTGCTTCGGCACTTCGGCCCGACGGGATGGCAGTCGCGATGAAACATCGCAACATCACGTCCTCACGACGTCACAACACCGCTTCAGATACGTATCTCAGTCGATACCTACGATATCATCCATCGTTCCGTTGATCTCAATTGATGCTCTACTAATCCAGTGCACTAACATTGTAGCTTCCGCATTAGGACGTGCCGCGGCTGCTGATGCGGGGAACAAGCTACTCGCTGCTGAGCCGCTGAGCTCGAGTAAGCGTCAATGAGGCATTACGCGTCCCGAATCCATCGTCTCGCTCTTTCAACTGGATCGCAGGCCATTCGATAGCTCCTTCGGAAAAACCCCAAGCAGACATGGCTCTTGCTCCGGCACCAACGCGTCTACGCCAGATTGCACTTGTCGCGGAGGATATCGAATGCGCGAAGCAGCTTCTTGTAGGCCAACGATGCTAATGTGGGCATATCGAGAACTAACGAAGATGCTAGACCTACGTTCTAGGAACAGAAGTAGTCTTCGAGGATCCAGCGGTTGAGCAATGGGGATTGAAGAACTTCCTCAGTACGTTCGCTCTCTCTTCCTAGCTCCAGCTACTAACATGACTGCAGTACCAATCGGAGGCGACTTCATCGAGGTGGTCTCGCCCATTAAACCAGGGACGACTGCCGGACGGCTGATCGAAAAGCGCGGCGACGGCGGATACATGATCATCATGCAGACCGATGATGCAAAGAAGCGACGCGAATACATCGAAGCGAAGGGACTGTCGAGAGTCATCTTTGAGCATAGTTACGCGGATTCGGTGTGTATTCAGTACCATCCAAAGGGCATCAAGGGTACGCTAGGCACCTACAATTGCAAGATCATACGGCTAACGAGGTGACAGGCGGCATGATGCCAGAACTCGATTCCCACGTACCAGGTCCGAAGAATCCTACGCCAGTTCAGACCCGCTTCTCCCCATGGCACGCCTGCGGTTCAGACATCGACCGCTATAGGGCCGGCATGGAGCGGACCGAACACCTTACGCTAGAGGGCTGTGTACTGCGCCTGCAGCCCGGCGACCTTGGCCACGAAGCGGCCGCACGGGAGTGGGAAGCGATATTTGGCGTCGTGCGAAGCCGCGACCTGTTGGCCTTCACGAACGCCAGGCTGGGTTTCATTCCAGGGCGTCAAGGGCAACCAGAGGGCCTTGTGTCGATCACGATCGGCGTCAAGGGCCAGGATCAATATGATGCAATACTGGAGAGGGCCCGACAGGCGGGCGTTTGTGGGAACGACGGGATCGACATGTGCGGTGTCAAGTGGTACCTTGCCCTGACAGGTCACAGTGCAACTAAGGGGAAGCTGTAGCTCCATGCGCCATCACATCGCACGAATTCTGGCCAGAACCCGTTTCACGTTGCTGACTGCATGCAGCGTGCGATACGCTTTGACACTGGGTTGAGCGTGCCACGTACGAAGCCAAGATCTTATCCGAAGACTGTTGAGATAGCCGTAAGCGCCGCCTTCGAGCGTCACGGAGTCGGTACCCCTCCCCCACCGACGTCATCCGTCGAACAAGATGAATTACCCGTCCTTCGCCAGCATGTTTACGATGGACGCGTCTCGACCTTTGCGCATTGTTTCATGCTCAGAAAATTTTCATGAGCGAAGCCACGACGCCAAGTTGGCTGGCGTGCGCAGGACAGCAGTTGATGGAGATTACACGCTCCACCCACACCACCCAAGAAGCTTTGGTAAGAGTCCCCCAGCCTGGGCGCAAAGAGCTTCCCATAACACCAAACAGCTGCGCGCGTTCTGAAAATTTGCCACTATCCTTCGCTGCTCCGCCTCCCGCTTGCGATCACGATAGGTCCACAGGTGCCTTTGTCGCGGTCTGTGCACTGCACACCCCGCTCGCGGTGACGCCAGGCACTCCCGCGCTCGCGATGGGGACGCGTCTATACCATTATGGATCCTCTCATTACTCCCTGCTGCATTTGTCGTGCCTTTGCAGTCCGGCGAGCGGAAATGAGATCTGAGGTGCAAAAAGCTTCTATGCTTCCATGCTTGGTGGTTGCCTTGCTGTGCACCGCCTCGACTTGAAGTATACTAGCCTGGGTGGCTTACGCTCTTGGTACCACCACGTTCTCATACGACAATTCCCTGTGACGTACAAATCGCATTTTCCCCAGTTGCTGAATTGCTAAGCTCCCTGCATGGCTGCGCACTCGCCCCGTCCCTCCCTCTACGAGATACTAACGCGCGACTTCAGAAAGGCCGTCCTCATTGCTCCACCCTACGAGGCCATCCTGGTCGCGATCTAAGATCCAAAGCTCTCGGCATCCTTCCGGCATCCTTCCCCTAGGCTAGCCCTACGAATTCTCCCCTCATACATCAGTCCCCGCACGGGGCACCGGCTAGCCTTCTTGTGACGATAATGCAGCGTGGGAGGACGAGCAAAGGAGCAATTACACACTTGCGGGCTGGAGGCGCACCACATTGGCTGCCGTTGGGAAGCTCTTCGTTCACGGCTTCGCAGCACCTTCCCATGCATAAAGTCTGCTGCCCCAGCCCTCCTTCGGACCTTTGTTTCACCCACCGATGATGCGCCTCGACCAGATCGCATTGGACCAAACCGCGACACATAACTTCACACCCTCCGCTGACCACCTTGGGTGGTTCACCCACCCTTCGTCCCACCTCATACAGGACTAGAGGGAGGGCAACATCTCAGCATGTCGCCGCCGATATACCCCAACGATGATGAACGCCTCGAGCGTCCCTTGCGCTCCTCCGTGGGCGCCGGCAAGTCGGCATACAACCTCACTGGCGTAGGGTCGCCTTGTGTCACGGCACCTCCTCCTAATTCTTGGTCGCAGCATGGCATTCATGTAAGCCATTCTCTGCTTCGTTGCGCATCTATGACTAACCTCCCTACCAGCTCAATAACACGCCGCCTTCCGAACATCAAGCCAACGACATCCCTCCCACCGTACACGCGCATGCGAACTCTACCCACGGCCTACCGCTGCAACCCACAGAAGGCTCAGCCAATCCTCGACATGGTGAGCAGCTGGTCGATACAAACGCACCTGGGCACCTCATCCCCTCCACGCCTGCGTCGCCACAATCGAACCCTGATGAGGTTCGGTGCAGACAGTGCAATGTGCCATTCACTGGTGACGACATGACGAACAACCTCGCACGACACATACGGACCCAACATCCATCGGCCAACGAGAGCCCTTTGATGTGCAAGAAGTGCAAGGTCGTGTGTACTCGCAATGATGCCCTGTTGAAGCACGAGCGCAAGTGCCAGCCGGGCCTACACCCCGATCCCGTCAAGAGAAAGAAGAACAAAACGGACACTGCTACGACTCCCTCACGCAGAGCCAACAAGAGCTCTAAACCTCGTCGCCGACCAGCCAAGAGGCCTAACCCAACCACGCTCGGCTCGGCACTACAGACCCCTCAAACCCATGCACCTGCAGCACACCCAACCCAGACCTCGTATACTCTACCCGACATACAGCAAGCACCAGGTGAGGATTCACTCACACACGACTTTTTCAATGTCAGGGGCGCTGGAAATGGGCTTTCGATACCATCCCAATCGTACGATCCTGCAGCAGGCGAGGACCAAGCCTTTCAGGAACTTCATAATGATCTTCAGCAAGCCGTAGAAGCGGCACCACTCCACCAAACTGTGTGGCCCTTCCAGTTCGGCCAGCAGAATCTTGCGCCATACAATGCCGTCCGACAGGAAGGCTGGCCATCGCCTCAGCATTTGTATCCTCTTCGCCCTGCCCATGGTTTTGGGCACCCACTTTCGCCAGTAAATGTAAGCGGCAATCTTGGGTCGACGGATCTGAGTACCCTACCGAGCAACCAACCGTTCGACACCGCCTCTTCATTGTACTTTCCTTCAACACACCTATACACCGGACCTACCTCCATCCACGGTCCAGCGGATCAACCCCATCACAGCCCTCTAGCGTCGCCTTTCTCCTTCTATTCAATATCGCTACAATCCGCAGCATCACCTTACAACACACATCAGGACATTCCGTCTGCGCAAGGATCATTTTCCGGGTATCATCAGCAGACTCTTCCAAGGTCTGATGAAAGCTTCGTCCACAGTCAAGAGGATAACATCTCATTCCTGGATCTATACCCATGGTCTCCACAGTTTGGCGAAGATACAGGGCAGCAAAATTAGAGCGGTCACTAAGCAGCGTTCCGTACAACGTTCAAACAAAAAGAAACCGAACAGATGCCCAGTCTACATCGGTATGAAAACTAAAATTATGACATCATGAAGGCAATGTAGACTTCTGGGCTGTCTCGCAGGTTTGCACTCATCCCCCGCATGGGGTTTTGTATTCTTCTTCACAACACTTCATTTCATAGACTTCACCTCTTCATGTATATATCACTTGCTCGATACCCCATCATCAATACATTCTTACAAACTCAAATTCATGTCGCCGTCTAGCGTACTCCCGGGCTCACGCAAACCCCAGCACAAGCCCAAGCATTGGTGTAAAGCCGCTGACAACTACTCTCCAGCGTATGATTTAAGGCCAGAAAATTGTCGGTACAGTACCATGCTGTTTCGCAATAGTGGCGCATGTGTCACCGCTCTTCACTGAGTGAAAACTTTTACAACTGTTCGTTCTCCTATTCTAGATTTGCCTAGACTTCCCTACTCAACAATCTAGACTACCTCTGTGGGAAAAGCGCTCTTCGCAATGAATGCATGACATCATGAGTTGTGTAGCGTGAGCTATGCAACACATATGACTGTTCAAGAGCCGTGTGTACGATACTAGCCATGTCGTCCCACTTCAATAAGTGCTCGACTCTTCAATAGCCTGCTGTACTTTCTCTGTCAGCTCCTCCACAGTGGTCTCCTCCATTCCAAACAGGACCGTCCGGGACCAGTCCGGTGTCACAAAAACCTTGAACCCATCCCTTCTCAGGCGTCGCACTTCTGAAGACAGATACCATATGCTCTTCGCGTAATTTTCCGCGTCGCTATGATCTTTTTCCAAGCAGGCGAAATTACCGGGACCTTCCAATATGAACCAAAAGGTCGTACTCTTCTTAAGCAAAGATAGACAGTGCAATTTGCCGAGGACCAGGGTCTCTTTGGCAACGTCGCTTCCGAATTGGACGGGTATAGTGACTACCACGTTTCGGATCTCATGAAAAGGCCACAGGCCATTTCGGAGCGAGTCAGCTGGCTTCAGACCAGCACTCCATCCAATCTGATATAAAGAGGAAGCCATGTTCCAGGGATCAGTGCTCCAGAAGACCGAAGCCCGGTACCATGCCTCAGCCAACTCTTCCCTTACTGCAGCGTCGGCAGTGAAAATCTTGAACTGTAGTAGATGGCTGCACGAGAAAGGGCTTGGGTGTTCGCGCTCGGCGTCTTTGTCTAGGTCGACATATGAGTCTTCGAAGATGTATCCATAGATCATTTTGCGAACTTCGATGGGTAAGGGACCACTTAGGCGACGACGTCGCATATGCTGGAATATCAAACGACAATACTTGGCTCTCACTTCGATGCATTTAGCTGCATGGAAAGCTTCAATCTCTTCTTTTGTGGCATGTCCTGTTGGACTGTGGTATTGCGCTGAATGTTCAGCAATCAGGAGCTGTTGAGTGGGTCCTAGTCGTGTGGTCGCGCTACGCAACGTTAGCATTCATATCATCCATAACGAAATAGTTATGCGTACTCCGTAAGGTATATGCAACAAGTAGGCCAAGCAGCTTCAGCGGCTTCTTCGTCTAGAATTGCATCAGCTTCCTCGTCTTGAAGCTCGGCAGATTTCTCGAGAAGCCCAAAGTTCTGGTCTCTTGAAAGCGTAACGTATTCGTAGTCTGAAAGCCCACATTTTTCGTGTGGAAGCCTATCGTCTTCACCCTCTGAGACCCCATCCTCTTCCTCGTCCGAGCCCTCATCGTCTTCATCGTCTGAGACTCCATCGTCTGAGACTCCATCGTCTGAGACTCCATCGTCTTCATCTTCCGAGACGCTATCTTCTTGGTCAACTGACATGCTATCGTCTTCCTCATCCGAAGGCCCATGTTCATCGTCTGAGACATCAGACATCGAGACATCTGAAGGATCTGAAGAATGCGAAATACCCATCTCGGCTCTTTCCGCTCGTTAGCAATCAAGACCTAAAAGACTGTTACAGTAACTCACTGGTATGCCATACCACCCACGCTGATATCGTGATTCGTGGTGATTTCTTGCATCTTTCGGCCCTATATATTGTTAACAGAACGCAAGTCGATGAGAAAAGTAATTCATAAGAAGTGAGGAAACTAGAGTTTAAATATGAATTCCTATATCAAGATTGGGATACCAAAGTCCGTTCGCACAGTAGCATTGGGGTTCCGGTTTTACTATTCACGGGGTCGTCTCGGTACCCTTATTCTGATCTCATCACCTCCATCCCAAGGTACTGCAACTTCCGAAGCGGCGGGGAGCCAACTACACCTCCCGAACTTCATACGACCCATACATGTAAAGATGCTCTTGGATGAGAATTGCCGCAACTTCTAGTACCACGGTAGGACCTGCCAGATCCGAGATCGGATCATGAAGAGAAGCGAGTGTAAGAGCTATGTAGCAGCTGCAATTTAGGCGTGCACGTGTGCAGAGCAGAATGTAGGTATTATGTAACTAAGGCGCAGTAAGAATTAGGTGTAGGATAGTTCAAATAGGGTTAGGTCGTATTAGGTGTGCTAAAGGGCTGGAGGGCGTTGTGGTCGTGGTTCTTTGGTAGCGCGGATCAGGGATTCTCGGCAATTTAGAGAAAAGGAAAGTAATATGCAACTCAGGTGACCTGGCGCACATTCAAAGAATATTTCAGTTCATTGGAAGTTGCGAAGATTTACAGATCAAGTTGCGTACCTAGATGGCCGCCACTGGTCAATCAATACTCCATCGCATCCTCAAACAATCCCCGCAACTGCTCCCTCTCTGCATCAATATTCTGCATTTCCAAACTTGGGGCCAGCATCAGCACTCTCGCTTGCGGAATAGTCCCCTCAACCAGCTGATCCAAATGCTCCTTTCCGAAACCGAGCGCCTTCAACCCACGTGGCTGATCACCAAGCTTGACCAAGAACTCCGCGAGCGCCTCGCTAAGAACTTCTCCCGCGCTCTCTGCCTTGACGTTCGAGATATCGACACCGAACGCTTCGGCAGCCGCCAAATGTCGCTCTGGGTTTGATGCGCCGGTGAACTTGAAGACTGCGGGCGCGGTCACTGCAACACTGACACCGTGGGGGATGATGGTGTGGTCGACGTCGTAACCCGAGTGCTTGTATCCAGGGTTCTGGCCTGAGATGGGGTACGACATGCCGTGACAGAGATGCACACCTGCGTTACCGAAACCTACACCAGCCAGTGTCGCGGCTAGCAACATCTGCGACTGAGCCTCGTGGTCATCGGGATCCTTCACCGCGCGAGGCAGATACTTGACTGTATCTTTCAGGGCCTTGAGAGAGAAGATGTCGGAGATCGGGTTTGCGCCCTGGTAGGCGGGACGGTTGAGGGGGTTGGTCGGTCGTGGAGTGCGCTCGTAGTATGGGATTGCGGTCCACGATTCGAGAGAATGGCACAGCACGTCGAGACCTGAAGATGCGTGCACAGCAGAGGGCATAGTGCGCGTGTTCAGCGGGTCGACTATGCCCAAAGTAGGCTTCAGGTTGCGATGCGCGATACCAGTCTTTGCTCTCTTGGAAACCAGATCGAAGATAGCAGTACCAGTCGTTTCAGAGCCTGTTCCTGCGGTCGTCGGTACAGCGATGAGCGGGAAGAGCTTTGACGGAATAGGCATTCCTTTGCCCAGAGGCGCGTTGACGAAGTCTAGGAACTCAGCGTCGGGGAAGGTAGTGTACAAGTTCATCAGCTTGGCTGTATCAATGACACTGCCACCGCCAACAGCTAGGTACGCATCTGGTTTCCACGGCTTCGCGAAGTTGATGGCCTCCATTATGCTGTGGTCCTTTGGCTCTACTCTGACCTTGTCGAAGATTTCGTATGTCACGCCTTCTCTCTCCAGACCTTCAATGACCTGCTTCATCGCGTCTAGTTTCCTCACGTTGGGGTCTGTGACGACCATGACGCGCTTGCTGCCCATGTTCTTGAAGTCCATGCCAACTTCCTTTGTACATCCAGGTCCAAATCGTATACTCGATGCCGCCATTTCGAATGCATATTCCTTTTGCTGGGAATGATCGAGGGGTGTTGCGAGATGCCGCCGAGCTTGCTGGACGGTAGACGGCGACTGATGGTAGTTGGGGTTCGAATGGCAGGGACATGATGGAGGATGCGTGTATTGTACAGTTCGAAGGAGGTTGAGGGCGCGAGCTGCGCGAGATGGCGCAATGCGAATTGCTGTTGATATCACCATTGTGAGCAACGTTTGTTGTCGTGCAGGTGGTGTTCGGTCGTGTGGAGAAATGCGGGGAGGCGCGTGCCGAGTCCTATAGGTAGCACGTTGGTGGTGTTAGCAACACAGATATGTTTCCTGGTATTGTATATGCTTTGAAGGGCCAATTCCTATATGTAAAGCCCAATTTGGCACCGAGCAATGTGTGGGGATGAAGCCGTTCTCCAATATCATACCTCCCGCATCGCAGCTCGACCTCGGATGACAGCTGAATTTAGCCGCATTCGGTATACCGAGATGTGGGGTAAGCAATTGCCGCCTCCAAATCACATCGGAGAGAGGTCCTGTTCCCCAGTTTTTGCTTTACAGAGCCTCCAACGCGTCTGCGGCGCTGATGCCGAGCGTTTGTGACGCAAACGAGCGGATATTCAAGGGTCGCATTGTTGGCCGGTCGACGTTGAACCTAGTTTCGACGTGCTGGCGTCCCTACCTTCAATCCAACCACCGCGACCAACAAACACCACCAACATCGTGACGTTATGCCACCACGGCCATCGTATGATGAGTGACGAACATCTTCGCATCAATTCCCGCCTGAACACTGCGTAGCAACGCCAGAGGATGAACCCTTACACATCTGTCAGCCTGGCGTGTTATGCGAAGAGCAAATGAACATCGTGACACGCTCCTGTGTTAGCGCGCGCGTTCGAATCGTCGACTTTATACTGGCCTGAATGTATTTTCATGTTTCAGATTTCGAAGATCAGTTGTTCATTGGCTCGCTGGGCTTTGCAACTCGCCTTCCTCATGTGTTGGTACCAATCGATTGCATGTGTCTTCAAGCAACATGAACCAACGATGCAGGCGGTCAGTGTTGCTATGCCGGCTTTTCAGTTGGTCTGCGGCAGGATCCGCATATTGTGGATCAGCTGCCAACAAGAGCCTCCTTCGAGTGCGTCCCTGAAGGAGGCGTGCAGGCTACGTGTTGTTAACAACATACTACCTACGGCTTTGGATGCATTTCAGGCCTCTGGTGTGTCCGAATTGGCCTGATTCCCCGGGCCGCTCGGCACGTCACACTACCCTTCACAGTGCATACGCGCTCGACTAGTCGCCAGATGGCGTCTCGCGACCCACCAATCCAAACGCACACATACGATTGAAGCATAAACTTGGTTCCCGTGCGGTGTTATCTGCAACCGAGTCGTCTGCCGTGGGCACAATTGTACAGCCCTCAGAACGTGGGCAAGCGATCGCACCTCTCTAAGCAGCATCTGGGGATACGGTACTTCCATGGTCTCAGGCGATTTCGCATGAAATCTCGCAGAGCCAACTCTTTTAGGCCCAAATTTACCTAGGTAGTCGAATGCGGTATCACGCACAAAGATCCAGGATGTCACGGTCTTGCTGACCCTCTTCCACCGATAAGGCGGGTCTTAGCGCCTGGGCAGCGCGTGTCTTTGCACCCGTATGGACTCGGTTCGCGACTAGAGTTGTTCAAGACACATGCGCCGTGTATCACGGGTTGTTCATTACCCGGTGCGCAGCTTCGGGGGTTGCAAGTCTTCAGGATTCTATCAGCCTTACTCAACGTTCTGCAGATGGAGACCGAAGAGCGCCTGAGATACCTGCCATCCGCAGTACAGTCGCCGCAACCCCATGTTGGAAACCTCGACCATTCACGAATTGCAAGAACGAGCCCAACTATCACAGGGGTCAAGGCGGCACACGGTGGCTTTCTATTGGATCAGAAACGCCCTCGATAGAACATGCCTCCACTAGGTGTGGCCCATTCCTAGGTCCCTCGTGGCTATTGGTACGTTGCCGCGCTTGAAACCTCGTTCCCCAGCTTCTGCCCCTCGGAACGGGTGTGAAGCCTGTGCGCTACAACAAGGGAACCGTATGCCATTCCCACAATTCTCGTTTATGTCGTTCGCCAATCATGATGGCGTTTTGCGCCGATTGAAACGACGCGGGTGGAAGCCTCTTGGGGCTGACTTCAATGTGACCGTGCCGCATTAGACGAGACGACAAGGTAGATATGGGCGCAGTCCCCAGCGGGGCATTACCGACCATAGGGACAACTCATGCCCACGGTCTGATCACGGGAGAATATTATGATTCTGCCTGTCCCCCTGCTTTTGCGCTTGTAGAGCCTTTCGTCTTCCTTTGTTGTCGTTCATCCTTTCGTTGCTCCCACGGCCTCATCTCTTACAGGCGCCAAATCCAGTCCCCGCGATACGTGCGCTGCCCCTCACGACGCCTCTTCACCAGCCATGAGCTTGCAGCTGCGCGTCGGCAGCTCGCAAGAACGACGACCTGCATACCGAGGCAAGACACGGCAACTGCTTCGTCTGAGCGACGTTCCAGATTCGCCTTCATCCTCTGCTGCGTTTTGCGAAGCTATTGACTCCGATGGACGTGCGTGTTGGGCCCCGCTCCCGTCGACCGCGGGCGACCCGTGGTGCTACAAACATCATGATGAATGGGAATCGATGACATTGCGATGGGCCAAGATCCACAAAGAAGCGGAAAAGTTGATGGTCACCGGCCTGGATGCCGCGAAACAAAAGATCATGAAGTTGCGCCAGTCGGTCGACCTCAGGCGACTACTCCAAGATCGATTTTACCCCCGCGGCGGAGACATTCAGGACTACATAAGATGGATTCACAAGATGGAGAGCGATGTCAGGGCCCTCGCCGATGCGCTACTAAGTAAGTAGCGTTTACTGTACATGTGCGG